AAGGCCACTCCATCTATGAATGCCATTCTGTTTCTTCCAAAGCCGATGCCCTCATCAGACAAAATTCGCTGAATGTCTCCATGCCAAGAATTATCATTTTTGCACAACAGACAAAAATAACGTTGCAAGCCAGCGTCAATCTTCATACTGCACTTAACATTCACAAAACCTCCTGGGAGTACAGATACAATTACAATGCATTTGAATGTGCGTAAATTCATATTGTTGTATTGCCTGTGTAAATGCAATTAACTCACGTAATTGTTGGCACGACCGCTGTGGGAGAAAAAAAACATGCTGACAACTAATATGAATACTGACCACGTGTGTATGTTGCATTTCTTTCGCACCTTACTTAGCCAACCGTGCTCATCGGAAGTGTGGGAAATATTAGAGTGGTCTAGAGTTGAAGCTTTCGTGACTGCAGGGATTCATACTCTTAGTTTTTTCGGTAAAGTCACGTAGGTAAAAAAATTTAATTAATAAAGTATTTTACTTTTATTAATAAAAGTATTTTACTTGTATTAATGTCACGTAGGTAAAAAATAAAATAAAAAAAAGTAAAATACTTTTATTAATTTAAATTTTAACAAATTAAATTAATAAAAGTAAAATACTTTTATTACAAATAGTTCAAGTGTCAACGTGACACTTTTTTGCTGATTGGCCGTGTAGGGTGGTGGAGGGTTACGACACATTTATAAATAACGCGATCGAACCCAAAAACTTTTATTATGAATCATTTTGGTCGCGAAAGCCTACGCGTTAAACCAATTGTACAGCATTATCGGCTCGAAATTAACTTAGAAGCGAATGTACTTTTTCGCAAGGTGCCGTTGCACCCCCTCTCTCTCTCCCTGTCCCATAACAACGCTCAGGAGGGCCTCCTTTGGGTCCTGGAGAGTTGTGCCACTGTGGGAACCCGGGCCGGCTCTTTTGTTTGCACCGCAAACAACCACCGTGAAGAGTGGGGTGGAGGAAGGGATATCACTGTTACCCAAACAAGTCATTAGTAACCGGAGCAACATGCCCCACTGCCAGCATTGGATCCTATGTAGCGCTTATTTCCGCAAAGTTGAACGGAATTACGCAAATTTGTAAAAAAAAAGCGTGCGTGTTGTAAAACGTGTCCGTCACGGGAGACGACATGACTATTCTGTGCTCTTTGGTTCTTTCGGTAAAGTGACGTAGATAGAAAATTAATAGATCACGACGTTTCGATCGCAACACAAGCAACCGTCAGCGGTTCTCCTACTGTTTGTCTCACCTGATGACGGTTGCTTGTGTTGTGATCGAAACGTCGTGATCGATTACTTTTCTATCTACGTGACTTTACCCAAAGGACCAAAGAGTATGGATTCCTGCAGTCACGAAAGCTTCAAATGAAGAACAAATATTCTGTTTAACACCGTAGGCTTTCGCTACCATTATCATACATTTTTTTTGGTAAGATCGCATAAATATGTCGTTAAAACCCGCCACCACCCGACACAGCCAACTAGTAAGGGTTGTTACGTAAACAGAACGTGCCAATTCGTCACTAGAATAGCACTAACCGGTGTGTTGGAGAGCCAAGCCACAACATTTACAATCTGAGTACGACGTTTCGCCAGTAATTACAACTAGCTTCATCAGGCGACAGCCAGATTTGTGGCTCTATTACGAATGAATATTCTTTATAGGACCCTTTCTTTTTGCCAGTATCAAAGTATGAAAAAATAAGAATAGGTTGTACCTTGTCTGGCAATGAAACAGGTGTTAAGATGTTCCAACAACAAAAAGATATCTTTGCAAGGCATCAAAGACAATGCTTATATTATAATCAGAGCATGTTTCCTTGTTTAGCCACGATTACGTGTGGCTAATGCAGACTTAATGCCTTGCAAAAAAGGTTTATATTGATTTAAAGCTTTCGTGTCTGCAGGGATTCATATTATTGTTTCTTTCATGAAGACACGTAGAAGAGAAATGATAAAATAATAAAAATAAAACAATAAAATTCTCACGTTTCGATTGCAACACAAGCAATCATCATCAGGTGTGAAAACCACAGCAAGAAAATTTGAAAAAAGTGGCGGTTTTTTCAAATTTTAACAAAAGAACCAAGAAAAGGTTTATATTGGGTGTTTGAACATCTTGACACCTTCTGTTTCATTGCCAGAAAGGGTACAACCGTTTTCTTAATTTTTCCGAAATATTCTGGTTCCATCCGTGAGGTTTGTGGAGAGACATCCACCAGAATGAACGTCTGTGAACAAGTAAACCCGTAAAAACAAAGTTTTTCACTATAAATCCTTTATATGCGTGGCGGCTAGAGTCTTCTCGTCCTCTGGCTTGAGATGGCTGTCACCTATGGGTCAGATGATTGTCTGCCAGTATTAAGCAATTGGTAATGAAATATTTAATTTGTTTTCCCTAAACAGTGTAAAATTTTGGGAATTTTTTTTCATGAACATTAATTGTCTCGCACAACGAGTCTGTGTGGAAAATGTCAGCTCGATTGGATCACGGGAAGTGAGTTCAAAAACGACCGAAAGATTTGCACGGTCGTAAGCAAGCAAGCAAGCACGCAAGCAAGCAAGCAAGCAAGCGAACTTAATATAAAGGATTTAACAAGTAAACCCGTAAAAACAAAGTTTTTCACTATAAATCCTTTATATGCGTCGCGGCGAACTTAATATAAAGGATTAAAAAATATATTCGGCTGTGGAGGACGCGGGGATCGATCCCGCGACCTTTGGCATGGGAAGCGAGGGCGCTACCAACTGCGCTACTCCGCCACGGCCTGTGGAGGGGTTACGCTCTGGGCTCTTACACTGACGTTCAACCAAAGCCATGAATGCGTTCTATTTGAATATATGTAAAATATTTTTTTTTTGCCTAAAAAGTGTAACATTTTGGGAGTTTTTTTTCACTAACAATAATTGTCTGGCACAACGAGTCTGTGTGGAAAATGTCAGCTCGATTGGATCACGGGAAGTGGGTTAAAAAACGACCGAAAGATTTGCACGGTCCTAAGCAAGCAAGCAAGCACGTGAACTTAATATAAAGTATTTAAAAATAGCTTCATAGCTCATCGGATTCCTCCAGTATAAATATTCTGCCGATTCCGATATCCTTTCATGTCTAGGGGGGAAACAAAAAATGTTGTAAAGTAGTTGTTGCCAAATGTTATTGGCCTTGCTAAAGGCAGCGGGCGAGTGTTGCCGTATCTGTGAATGCCATCACAATCGGGAGCCTGGCACCGCCGTGTCAAACCCGTTAGTAGCAGTTGCCTGCCGGTACAAGAATTTGGCACACTGCAAAGTGGAAATGTGCCCTGTGGGTTACTCTTACTGATTTGAGACCACAGAAGAAGAATACAACTCCTACTCGCTGAATAAATTCAAAGGAGTGCATGAACGTGGAAAACCACGCACTTATCTAGACTATGCAAGAAATGTGTGTTTTTGTACCAAGGCGCTATAAATTACATCGGGTGAAAGGGGGGAGGAATTTATTGGACGTGTTCGCTGTGCCTCAAATTGTGCGGTGTTGGGTTTGTTTCGGCAATTACGTCTTTGTAGATCTGCAAAGCATTAACTGAAGATAAACACGTTCAAAAGTAGTATAAATTAGTATATATTTTTTTTATTCCATTGCATACCTGTCGAGCAATAAGCAAACTCCACACTCCCACACAATGTACAGCTTTCAGGAGTTGGTTAACATTACAACCAAGATAACGTACACTTTATGCAGCACTTAAAAGCTTAAAGGTGTTCAAAGTTAAGTTTAAGCCCGTGTCATGAACCCCATACAAAATTAGTTGGACATGTTTGAAATTGGAGGACTCAGACTGAGTTTCAATTACAAATGGTTAGAGTGAACTTCAATTGAAGGTAAAGCATTGTATATTTGAGCATTTTTAGTGGTGGCACCATGTAGATTTGTCAGTGTACCTATGGAGACAACACTAGTGGTTAAAACCGCAGACGAAACGGGACACATACACTGTGTACGATCCCATGAGAATGCGTACGGATCCAGATCGCTGATCAGTTAATACATTAAAGAGACACCGTTACACGTGAACACGTGTAAAATGTTACACAAGGAAAACACGGGCAACTTCCACACGTGCGCGCGTGGCGTGTTCCCGCAGCGCAGTAGGTATTACTGAACTTTTCAAAGAACTCTATCTATTACCGTGCTCCCCGCTGAGAACAAGAGAAGCGCCACCCTAGAATGGCCCCGCTCAAGCTACAAGAACGTCTATCTGTTGCCTCTATAAACAGTGTCTCTAAGGTTTGTTCCACGACCGCATTCCGCAATTTTGATAATAAAAATATTTCAAGATTGTGAAAGCGCAGCAACAGGTGTCAAAACAAGAGTTGTACTGCTGCTGCTGCTGCTGCCCCGATTCTGCAAGTCAAGTGGCCCAACTAATGCGGCCAATGCAAATAAATTACAGAGCGTAAAATAAATACCGGACTGCACTGCGTGATAATAAATTCCCCGTGGTTTCAAACCCGTTGTTTGAAACACGTGCGGCCGTTGCCTGGGTTTAATGTTAAAAATTACACACGAAAGAACATTCGTGCAAAGGGATGCCAGACTTTAAGGAAGTCAGAAACTTCATATTCTAAAACATGCTATAATGGCCGTCGATTATCGTGATATGATTGTCGTTTCATTAAATTGTCGTTCAAATCAAACCCAAAATGTTGACTAAATGTGTTTTATACCAAATGTGGCCCATCAATGTTACAAAGGTTGAGGTCGTTGAACTCTGTTTTAACTCACTGAGTAGACAGAATTCAAAAGCAAATTCCTGTTGGTACTCATCTTTAAATGAAACTGTTAGCAAGTGTTTCGATGTGTATGGTTTTGGCCTATGGGGACCCCAAGACCAGTGGCTCTCGGGTTAACCGAACGTCGGTACGTGCTGTACTACTGCCACCTACGGGCACACTGCAGTAAATGCCATTTTTTTCTTATACCAGAGTAGAAAAGCCGTACTCATGGCAGCAAAAGCTGCGATAATACAGCAGCACACGCTGCAGTCGAAACTAAATGAGGTCATCACCCTTGTAGCTATTTAAAAAATCAACAAGTGCTTGTTCGCAACTGCAACACAAAGGAAGTGCAATCAACTCTGAAGGCAGCGTTTAGGACGTTAACCTTTATTAACACTTTTATTGCACAAAGTATGGTACATCTACCGAGACGGGGCGGTTATCGTGCGTGCATTCTGTGAATGCACCGTCCTCAGTGCTATCGCTACATCTCCCCAATTCATTGCCATTCACGATGCGAGTCCATACACGTGTGCGAGCATGTGTTGGGAGGTGGACGGTACAGGGAGGGAGGGGGGGGGAGATGTTTTTTTGGAAGGGCCACATATATACATATGAATCGGCTGCGTTACAGACGACAACAAAATGAAGTGAAGCTGTCGGGCAGTTACCCGAAGGAGTGGTGGGAAACATGATTGACCCGTGTTGATCTTCATCTGACACAGATCCCTCAACGGTGGGCCACGAGCGAGAAGCTTCCCGAACCGAACAGGATTCACTGCGCGTGGGGTATTATTTTTCATTGCGCAGAGCCTCGATGAACGCCTCCAGCTTCTCTTGAATTTCTCGTACTCGTTCTGTAATTGCATCGGAAACGAGCGTCACAGACAGCCCAAGCCAGCTCATCATAGCCAATGTCATCATCACCATCACTTAGACCAAAATCATTATCAACATCACCTCCACCAATATCATCATCATCATCACCACCACCAAAGTCATTATCACCATCATCTCCACCAATTTCATTATCACCATCACCTCCACCAATGTCATCATTATCATCACCACCACCATCACCAATTTCATTATCACTATCATCTCCACCAATTTCATTATCACCATCACCTCCACCAATGTCATCATCATCATCATCACCACCACCAATTTCATTATCACCATCATCTCCACCAATTTAATTATCAACATCACCTCCACCAATGTCATCATCATCATCACCACCAACACCAAAGTCATTATCACCATCATCTCCACCAATTTCATTATCACCATCATCTCCAACAATGTCATCATCACCATCATCATTACCACCACCACCATGTCAACATCACCATCAGTCATGGTGAAAAGGTCAATTGGTTATCAGTGTGTGACAATGAGTGCTTTAGCATCAATGGGGAAACTCACTGAGCTCCTCAGCCAACTGAACCCGACGCCCAGTCAGAAGCCTGATCTTCTTGCTGTTGTCTTCTGCAAAGTCCTCCAGCACCTCCTTCACATTCTTCTCCAGCCTCCGAGCTGCACAAATATTAAGTTACAATCTCTACACAAGTAGAGGCGGTTCTGTCTCCTCTGCTGCTTCTCTCACGTATCTAACACAACTCCCCCTGCTGGCCAATTTCAACTATTTCTTCTCAGCTTCGTCCAAAAACATCTAGCTGACACAAGGCACTTTTTCACATTTAATTGTTAAAACCCCTTACACTATGAAAATGTAACAAATGAGTCCAGGTGACTGCTGAAGCGAGAAATTAAACACACACAAGTCAACACTTCGGACTCTGCTCATGAGACCCAGAAGGTTGAACTGGTCAAGAGTTTGCATGCTTGAACACATGCTGTTAACACAAGTCTGAAAGGTCAATATTCCGAGAGAATTTTTTTTAACATTTTTATTAAAGTGGACGTACAGAACGTATGTTTATTTCACTAACCAGAATTCTCTTCTGCAGTGCTCCGGGAGGTTTAATCATCAATCATCACGTCTCCCCAAGGCGCCACCATCCCCGATAATCCCACGATGCAACAATTCACTCAGCACCTATACACGTTACTGACTTTATTCAACCAAACTATTTTTTATTTTACCAGGCAAAGGCCCACGAGCTATTATCTCGTTTTCAGAAACGACCTGGCCACAAACGTTAGCTCAACAAAGTGGCTTATCACGTCATAATCAACGTTTTTGGGTTTAGATCGCGTTATTTATAAATGTGTCGTAACCCTCCACCACCCGACACGGCCAATCAGTAAAAAAGTGTCACGTTGACAAAAGACAAATAGTTCACTGCTTTAGCCCACCGGTGTGTTGAAGCCACAACATTTACAATTTGAGTACGACGTTTCGCTGGTAATTGCATCCAGCATCATCGGGCAATTCGCCAGAATGGTGAATTGCCCGATGATGCTGGTGAATTGCCCGATGATTGGGCAATTCGCCAGAATGGTGAATTGCCCGATGATGCTGGATGCAATTACCAGCGAAACGTCGTACTCAAATTGTAAATGTTGTGGCTTCAACACACCGGTGGGCTAAAGCAGTGAACTATTTGTCTTTTGTCAACGTGACACTTTTTTACTGATTGGCCGTGTCGGGTGGTGGAGGGTTACGACACATTTATAAATAACGCGATCTAAACCCAAAAACGTTGATTATGAATAACATTGGTCGCAAAAGCCTACGTGTTAAACTGGCTTACCACGTGTGGAAATTTATAACAGCCAAATACTCAATCTCCCCCAGGTGTATGTCATCCCGGACGTTTTCCATTCATTCTCGAAACACAGTGGTTCAATTGTGTTTCTATTCCCTCCAGTACCAAGCCTGATCCCGTGCCGCTGACCTTCAGTGTTGGTGAGCTGCTGCCTTAGTGTGTTGGCCGTGATTGACAGCATGCGCTGGATCCTCCAGAACAGCACGACGTCGTTGCACTCCAACTACAGGGCGCACAGGGCACAGCCGAGGGTTCAATCGCTGCACAGCCCATGGGCTTGCAAAGTCATAACACCCGAACATGCAAACGACATCTGCATTGCGATCCTTTCATTTAACGTGTGACGCGAAGATGGGAAAACGGTAATGTCAGGCTCCAGCGGCAGAGTTTACCAACCACCGATTCTCGCGACCCCATCGCACTCCGCCTGTCCATGTTTACGCACGTTCTCCGTCCAAATACAAATTAAGCTTCGATTTAAAGCTTTCGTGACTGCAGGGATTGATCTTCTTGGTTCTTTCGGTAAAGTCACGTAGAAGGGAAATAATAAAATAATAAAAATATAACAGAATTAAACAATTCTCACGACGTTTCGGCCACAACGCAAGCAGCCGTCCTCAGGTGAAGAACAGGTCTGTCTTCAGACGCTGTCTTCCCGACAGACCTGTTCTTCACCTGAGGACAGCTGCTTGCGTTGTGGCCGAAACGTCGTGAGAATAATTTCATGTTTTATTTTCATTATTTTATTATTTCCCTTCTACGTGACTTTACCGAAAGAACCAAGAAGACAAATTAAGCTGTTACACACTGCACGCGCGTGAAGATAGCTAAACATAGCCCGCATGACCCAGAGTGCGCGTCTTAACTTGAATCGCCGCGCTCCACTTCACACGAGACACTCACGCACGGCGTCTTGTACTGGAATCGGCCGCTAGCTACGTCACATCACAAGTGTTTGCCAATCATCAGGCTGGAGCAGCGTGCAACAACCTCATCTGTAGTTGACCGAATGAGAGTGGCGATTACGAAAAGGCGTACCGTGTTGGCTCGTGAGGACTGGAACATGGGAAGCTCTTCTCTAGAGAAACAGGGCTAATGAACGTTAAGTGTGGCGCTTGCCTCCGAGTCCACGAAGTTCTTCTGGTAGTAGTAGAATCCTCGCCGGCACAGATTGCAGTGGTCCAGGGCTTTTTTGAGGAAGCTGCGTCTGTAAACCTGGTGCCACGTGTCTTTGATCTGACGCACAACGATATGAACACAACACAGTGTGACGATTTCAATGATACATCACAACGAACGGTTAAGGGTGCAATCATTTTCAGGATTAAAAAAAAGAATGAATGCATTTCAGATGGTTGGAGTATTAAAGCTACCTAACTCAATTACACGAATGTATGACCAAATCACCCGGATTGTGCCCAGTCTCTAAGCAGATGTAAACTAAACTATTTTTTATATTACCAGGTAAGGCCCACTAAGCTATATAACTCTTTTTCAGAAGTGACCGGACCACAAACGATAGCTCAACGAAGTGGCTTATCACAATGTGGAAATGTATAGCAGTCAAATACTCTAAATGCATCATGGGACCTCCTTTGCCAGTACCACAATATGAGAATAGGTTTTCCCCTTATTTCCGTGAACAAAACAGGTGTTATGTTAAAACACCGAACTGAGACCTTTAACAAGGAATCATGTCTGCATTCACCACAAGACTTGTGGTCAGAATGCAAACAAAAAACGTACTCTGAAAAAATATGCATTGTCCTTGAAACCGATTGGTTCACAGCTCTGCCCTCTCGTGCCATTATAAAGCCACAACATATATGATCAGAGTAAGTTTTTGTTTGAATTCCGACCACAAGTCTTGTGGTTAATGCAGACATGATTCCTTGTAAAAAGGTTTCAGTTTGGTGTTTTAACATAACACCTGTTTTGTTTCCAGAAAAAAGGAGAAAACCTATTCTCACTCTAAATGCATGTTGATTCTAAATGTGGAGGGGAAAAACTGCAGGACATGGAGAAAAATCCACACAACAGGCGTAGGGTCAGGATCGAACCCATGACCTCCTGTATACCAGGCAAGGTCGCGCTTGGATGGGCAACCACCATGCACAAAGCTGATGTTGTAGGCTCCTATGTTATCAGCAGATGGTAATACGGCGAAATCCATGTTTACAGTGTACTATGCTCAAATGTATCTGGCCTTGACAATCATCCAATCCACACTGACCAGCATGGTGAAGGCTGGTGAAATAACCCCCAAGACGCGTGCGAAGCAGGAAGACCCTCAACCAGCAGCGGTTTTACAATATGGCTCTACGTGTATACATGTGTAACTCACTCTGTGTGCTAATTCTTTCATGTTTTGAACGAGAGATCAACTGGGAACCCTGTCAGTATGTCGTGTGTCGTGTGCGCATCTTCAATTGGTTAAATAGGGGGGGCGTACCAAGCCAGCGTCCACCTCCACGCCGCGGGACTCCAGGTTCTTGCGCACGGTGGTGATCTCATCGCTGGCCAGGTACGCCGTGTGCTCGCCATCCACCTTCAGCAGCCGCTCCAGCTCCGACTTTGTCTCGTTCCGGACGCTCTGTAGCCATGGGCGGGGGGGGGGGGGGGTAATGGGGCCAAAGGGTTAAAAGATAATTATTCGCAATGTTTAGGACGTTTTTAAATTGCTGTATTCTCTACAAATATTCGTCATGTATTGATCGAGCTGTCCCTTTTACAGTGATTCCAGGATTGTCATGATTCAAGGTTGTGATTTCATTCAAGAATATATTCCATATTGACTCGTTTTTACAGTCTCGTTTGTACTGTTTTCTTTCGTCTCATTTCGACACAGCGTTGTTTGCTCCAAAATGTTGATGCATGTATTGTGAGTGTAAGGGCCCAATTGAATCAAAGAATCGATGCATCATCACCTGCCAAAAATGGAGGCCACCATTCCATGTATATTTCACAAAACTGCAATAAATGATATCATTTTTTTCATTTACCAACCAAGGTAAGGCAATGTGGCTTGCAATCTGAAAGCTGTGAGTGTATATTAGTCAGGCACTGAAACAGCCATTAATGGCTCCAGGGTTGATGCAAAACAAATAATTAGGACATTGTCAGAAGTCAACAGTGGTCGTAAGTGTAATAAATTCTGTTCAGACGACGTCTTGACTTCAGAGTTGTTTATTCGTTTCTCCCGTTCACAGCCTTCCACCGCCTTCACACACTCGGTTCCCTCACCTCTCTCTCCGCTCCCTCACGCTGCTGGCTGACAGCGTGAGAGAGACTGCCGCGGCCGCCCGCCACGTGGCTGGAGCGGGACCACGGCACCAGCGTGGCTTCCCCCTTAGTTCCTCCGCACACTGACCTCGTGTTGTCTTTCTCCACCCCTTATAATACCTGGCCCACGTGATACCACGTAGCCAATCCTCAGCCACACCCCTGGAACATTCTCGAAGATACAGTCTGGCTCCAGGGCTACGCCCCTGGCTCGACACCCCATTGGCTGCGGGCTGAGGCCGGCAGAGCCTATCACGATAGCCCAGGTGTAACCTCACATTACATAAGTATGGACTCTTCCCTGCCATACCAATTTGGAATTTCAACCACAGTCGAAGAGCTGTAGACAGGAGAGAAACACCACACAACGCTCGTTTGTGTGGACAACCCACTAAGACCTATGGCTTGTTTATTTACAATTTCTGGAATCTCTTAAGCAGTGGTGTAGGTATCAGTTGTGCAGACGGTGCAGCTGCACCGGGACCCACAGGTTAGAGACACCCAGGTACGAGGCTACGAAGATGGGAAATTGTATAGGAGAGGGCCCACATCCTTCCTAGCACCAGGGTCTGTGGCAACCACGCTACGCCACTGCTCTAAAAAGGTGTGCCAAGTCCATTCTCTTACTCATATGCCACAACCATGAACATGTTTGCACCCTTGGTAAAGGCAAAACGCACGATTTATGCAACTACGTATAAGAGATGTGTTTCGGTGAAAATGTAAAGACCTGCTCTGGGGTGCGGTTGGTCCATTGAATCCAACGTTCCCTCCACTCTGGGCCAACCATGTCCCTGATGACATTATCAGCTGGAAAATACACGGACATATTTACAAGCACAATGAAGAATAATGTTATTGTTGGGGTATATAATAAAACTGCATAGATCCTGCTAAAGTGCATACACTTTTCATTTGGAGGATGTTGCACACCCATAACATTTCATAGCATGAAGATTGTAGTGAGGATTTGGTTATAATCTTGATTTGAAGCTTTCGTAACTGCAGGAATCCATACTATTTGGTTCTTTCGGTAAAGTCACGTAGGTAGAAAAAATAATAGATCACGGCGTTTCGATCGCAATGCAAGCAATCAGTCATCAGGCGGAAGATTGCTTGCGCCTGATGACGATTGCTTGCGTTGCGATGGAAACGTCGTGATCTATTATTTTTTCTACCTACATGACTTTACCGAAAGAACCAAAGAGATTTGATTATACTCTATCCTACATACATCATAACAGTAGTGTGTCAACAAATATAGACTTTAATGATCATCTAGACTGATCATTACAAAATTTAAACCATGCATAGACAGACTACGTTGATGCATCAAATAAGAAAAGATGAAGTGCATACAATTTGTGTGTGTGTGTGTGGAATAGTGGCGCAGCAGTTAACGCATTCCGTTACAAACGCAACGTCCCTGGTTTGATTTCTGGGCATAGACAACATCAGTGGAAGGTGGCATGTGAGATTATTCTGGGCTTTCCCTGGGTCAACTAAGATTTAAATGAGTCATTGGTGCTGTGTGTGAATATAAAGGTGGCTGGGCCATGGTACGGACCACCTCACCCCATCATTAATAGTTATTTGCTAACAGCACTTGTCCCAACAGCCTGTATGGCCATACGGTGAGTCTTTGTATAGTGTGTGTAGATTTAACAACACTCAAAGATGTGCATCGTATGCATTACTCTATAATTAGGAAGCCACTGGAGCTATGCACTTTCAAATCTAGATTGAAAATTCATTTATTTAGAACTGATGTTTATGTTTAGTTTGTTATCCTTCCCCTGCACCGGCGATTAGTACGGTTGGCTACGTACGAAGCGAAAGAAGTTCAATGTACGTACATACACGCACGTTTGAAAAGCTCTCGGCATTATCTTCAGACCACCAGCTCGAAATAATTTAACGTGTGATAACAGGGGTGCGTGTGTGTTTATCGTACTGTCACGCAGCCGGGCCTGTAGCGTGTCCTCCATGAACTTGATGGCAGCATCCCACTGCTGCTTGTCGGAGATGGAGCGGTCCTCCAGCGCGTTGTGCTGGATCACCCTCTGGACACGCGGAGTACACGAGAGCGGCAAGGAGGGCATGGTGCTAAGGAATAGGGAAACTGTCCATCCGTTTCAAAATCAGGCTGCCAGTGACAACAACGTGCAGTTGATTCATCCTGTAATTCGTTCTGCTAAGCACACATTTTAACATGACGATAAAACCCACATTCTTATATAGTCGTAGCCAATATTGCTCAAGACCTATACAGGACTGAGAAGTGGTAGAGGCAATGTGTGTGCTAAGTTTAATTATTGCTGGCTTCGAGGGTTTTGTTGTTTTTGTGAAAGCATGTGAAGAGTCCTCTGACAGACGGTCAAACGAACGTATATAATACTCGTGGGCCGTTCCGTTCAATAGAGAGGGTGACGTAACACTCACCTGACTCTCGTCGGACATTCACCACTCGCCAGTCATCAACTCACACGGCCTCTTTCCACTCACCAGTTTATACAATAAAGTGGGAAGCCCATTAAGATTCAATGGCGCCCCCGCCCCCCGCCACACACACCGTTCCCCAGTGGCACACACCTTATCCTTTGAACGATTTTGAACCAGGGCTCGTATCGCATGCTGGGCTATCGTTTTGAATTGGTAGAGTGAATATTCTAAAACTACTACTAAACTATGTTTATTTTACCAGGTAATTGCAACTGAGCTTCTAGTTCAGTTTCAGAAACGACCTGGCCACAAATGACAGCTCAACCAAGTGGCTTATCACGTGGAAATTTACAACAGCCAAATACCATTCACGCACATCGATTCTAAACGTGGAGGGAAAAACCGGAGAACCCGGAGAAAAATCCACGCGACCACGGGCAGAGACACGCAAACTTCAAATGTACAGGTGTCAGGGTTGGGATCGAACCCACAACCTCCTTCATACCAGACGAGGTAATTAACATCTCGCCACAAGCCGGTCGGCTTCATATAAGAAATATCACCACCGGGAGGTAAAGTGTGTGCGCTATATTCTTAGGTTTTTTCGGTAAAGTCACGTAGGTAAAAAAATTAAATTAATAAAAGTAAAATAAAATTAAAATAAAATAAAAATCACGACGGAAGCTTGTGTTGCCTCCGAAACGTCGTGATTTTTATTTTATTTTACTTTGATTAATTTAATTTTTTTACCTACGTGACTTTACCGAAAAAACCTAAGAATATGAATCCTGTGTGCGCTGTACCAGGCTGTCCTCGGCCTGCTCGTTCCAGTGGTGCCGCTTGATGCCCTCGTCCTTGACCGCCTCCTTGAGCTTGTCGAAGATGTCGTCCGCCTCCTGCTCCTTCTGGTCGGCCATGAATCGGGAGAACTCCTCCTGCAGCGTCTCCCACGCCACCTGGGTGCAGGAAGGCACGCGCGCGGTTGTCGCAGGCCCGAATCGCAGAGCGACGCCGGACAAATTATCCCGTTAATAAGGCAGCGCTTGGGCAATGATGGCGATACTGTGCCGATGATAACGCCTGCAACAAAAAGTATTAAACTAGTATACAACGGCTCTTGTTGTCCCGCTGCTGTCGAGAGAAACGTGGCAAGAATTTTTACTCTGAAGTGGCAGTCTAAAATGAAAGGCCGTGTACATTATACACGGTGTGGCGATGTAATGTGGCATGCTCAGCATGACGGAAGGACCGATGGTAGCAGTCACGATTGCGACTTTTTCCAACTCGAAAATTACCTTTTGTGTGGTTTATTAGTCTTGTCTGTTTCCAACCTGCTACGCAGTCTCATCACACGATGTTGATTCAGGAAATTACTAATTACTGGGAGATAAATAAATAAAAAGCTGAAAGGCTCCAACTGCTTTAATACACATTGAGATGTATGAAAAGTAGGTTGTAGCTAGAAAAAGTAGACGTGGTAAAGGCAGCGGCGTAACGACATTATCAGCTCAGGGGGTGCGGCAATCGGTCCGATGGGACCCCAATATCTGATTTGCGCAATTTGCAGAAGCCAAACATTACCGCTCCAATTAAATTAGAATAAAAAGTGAAATGTAAATTAAATAATTTTCATAAAAAATAAATGTAAACCGGGTTTTAAATAAGTTTTTGTTCCTTTTTACTGTTGTTGAAAAACATCTCATTGTGGCTGTCAAGGGGTCCCAACTCGCAGCTTTGGCCACCAGGGGGAGGCCAAGGCACCTCCTGCCCCCACGCTCTTTCCGCTTCTGGGTAAAGGAGCTTGGAGCAATTTCGATTTAAAGCTTTCGTGACTGCAGGGATTCGTATTCTTGGTTATTTCGGTAAAGTCATATAGAAGGGAAACAATAAAATAATAAAAATATAAAACCACAAAAATTCTCACTTTTTCAAATTTTCTTGCTGTGGATTTCACACAACAGTGTTGCAGTCGAAATGTCGTGATAATTAAATTTTTTATATTTTTATTATTTTATTGTTTCCCTTCTACGTGACTTTACCGAAAAAGAACCAAGAATATGAGCTTGGAGCAGCTATAGTCACCTCGATGGCCTTGTTGGGCAGCTGCTTCTCGGCCCACTGCTTGAGCCTGATGTCCACCGTCGTGTTGAAAGTGCCCGAGTCGGTCGACTGTGCAGCGGGGAGGTAGATGTTCTCAATGACGTGCGTCGACACTCGCTCCCACAGCTTCTTCTGCAGGATGTCCTCCCTGCAGGGTCAAAGCAAGAGCAATTCGTCGTCACCTCCGTCATTCTCGTCATCAATCCACTGCTCGATGAGAGCGTTTCCATGCCATGAGGATCAATGACGGTTGTTTGCCTTCACCACATTGGTCAGTGTGGGTTGGCGAAGGCAGCATAGATCGAGCATCGTACATTACAATTGATGTTGTTGTACTGGCCTCTGCTGACAATGCAGCCCCGCAGAAGCCAACATCACTATCCAGGTTCAACCATGCTTAGCTTCTGAGATCTGATGCATTTGGGTAGTTTGGTTATAAACTACCACTGTTTTCATGATTATACATGGAACAATTTATCATTCGTAATTGATTCTTGATCTAATGATACGTACAAAAGCACGCATGTATTTATTGATAATTTTGCATTCATGAAAACTGTGTCAATGTCAAATTTAAACCAATGGCGAGAACAGAACTCTACGAATGAGACGACACATTTTGAAGCAATGAGGTCCAAATAACACGAAGTAGAATTGATTCTTGAACGGAAACACGAGCAGAACCCGTTGACACTTTCTCAAACTACTGGCGCTGTGAAACTTTACATGCCTAATCACCATCATCATCTACATGGTAGTGCACATGCCGTAGTGCACATGTTAAATAATTGGGGTGTCGTAATCGTCCAACGAGGAGCAATTTTCGAATAAACCACATGAAACAAAGAGTTATTATTGTGAGAATTCGTCATGAAGGGAATTGGCCAAAACTAACTGTTTTATTTGGTCATAGTGTCGTTAAGATGCACGTAATAATTAATCAAATGCATGAAGGCGGACAGACATGGAAATTTGGCGTCACATATCCAAATTAATTAGGTTGTTTTCTTAGCACTGCCAAGATATAACATGGCCATATTTATTCAACATGATTTTCTGCCCAGCTTGAGAATGACTGCATCTTACCAGTGCTTGGGGGTGACCTGTGAGAGGCTGATGACTTCATCCAAAATCTCATTCTTGGCTTTTTCAAAGAGTTCATTCTAGACCACACACGTAATATACATTTTAGCAAAACAACACGACGTAAGTTTTCGTGGCTGTGCTGTATAGTCTTGTGATGCATTTATTTTTGGACTGCATGTTGCGTACAATGAGAAAAAACATACTTCCCCCCCCCCCCACCGTCCCAGTCCCTGACTGCCACACATTTAGATAAGCTTGCCGAGGTGTATTCTTAGGTTTTTTCGGTAAAGTCACGTAGGTAAAAAATAAAAATTAATAAAAGTAAAATAAAAATAAAATAAAAATCACGACGTTTCGGGGGCAACACAAGCTTCCGTCTTCAGGTGGAACCTCCGAAACGTCGTGATTTTTATTTTATTTTACTTTTATTAATTTTAATTTTTTACCTACGTGACTTTACCGAGAAAACCTAAGAATATGAATCCTTGCAGTCACGAAAGCTTAAAATCTAGAATTGCCGAGGTGTATCAGCTGTACCTTCCCTTCTAGCCTCGCCCACCTCCACCTTCTAGCCCCGCCCACTCCCCCCCAGTGCCTGACTGCCACACTTAGATAAGCTCCTCTCCCCTCCCCTGAACCAGTATTTAAGAGCTTGTCTCCTGAATTTCTCTTCACTTGATACAGTAAATTTGGTTGTGACGGTCCCACCTGAAGACGGAGACTTGTGTTGTTTCCGAAACGTCGTGATTTTTATTTCATTATTATTTTTTACCTACGTGACTTGACCGAAAAAAACCTAAGAGTATGAATCCTTGCAGTCACGAAAACTTCAAATCTAGAAGCTTCTAATCTAGAATACATACAGATGCACATCTCAAGGTTGTAATGGGATGCTAGAAAGGTATATTGTGTGATGGGTTGCACTCACCCGATCCAGCTCTCTCAACCTTGGGTAATTATTTTTCCATTCGGTCTCCAGGTTAAATCTCGTAGCTGCATCCCACACAAACGTTTCCCTACTCAATACTTTGCAAGCAGCAACAGCAATCAATTATCAATTTAAAACGCACAAAAGCACGACTGAAACGACACTTTACTAAGACCTCACTTTGATGTGTTAGTGACACAGAGAGCAGAGCGCTGAAGGCACCGTTGAGACCCTGGGTTTTGAATTCAGACAACAGCTTGCAAAAATTAAACCGAATTCTCGAGTCAAGCGATTTGACGGTTGCAGCCTGGTCACCAACGACTGGGAAAGGGATACCCCCCCATACTGTGTGGAGGTCTGCGATATCTGCTTCTTTCGACTGTTCTCCTAACACTAAGCGTTGCACTGCTCTGCTAAAGACATGGATGACTACTTCATCTCATGATGCGATGCGCCTTCGTTTCATTTTGGACTGGAGGACAAAACAAGGGTGCAACTGCTCGCGGCGTTCTTCTTTCTTTCGTACGGCTGATGTAGACGCAGAGCGACAACTGCAATTATTTCACATTTAGGTGGTCAAGCATCGGAGCGTATCGGCGTTGATCGATTGCAACGCTAACCTTTGAATGCGTCTGCCTGCTGCTCCACAGACTCGCGCACCATCTTCCAGAAGCAGTCGGACACAGCCAGGCTCAGGTTTTTCGTCGTAACCTGATGCGCCTTGAGCATCCCCGACCTGCGTCGAGCAACGTCGCAGGGCGAGTACGCAAACACAAGTCGAGTACATTTTATTTTTTGCTTAAAACACGTAACGCCTTTAATGGCACAAAAGCTGCAACTGAAAGCACCATCATATGAATGCTCAAAACATAAAAATAGAAAATTCCATGCAATGATGATATATGTCCATATACTGTCTATAGTTAAACCAAACTAAACTTTTAATTTTACCATGTAAGGCCCAGAGCTATACAGCTCTTTTTCAGAAACGACCTGGCCACTAATGACAGCTCAACGAAGTAGCTTATCACGTGGAAATTTATAGCAGCCAAATACTCTAAAAGGGATGTTTCTAAATGTGGAATGAAAAACCGGACCCGGAGAAAAATCTACCTGGCCACAGGGAGAACATGCAAACTTTAAATATACAAGCATCAGGGTCAGGATCGAAACCGCGACCTCCTGCACGCCAGGCGAGGTAGTTAACATCTATCCACCACGGCAACCCCAGTTGTTGCAGAGGATTGTGAGCATGTGTCATTCATGCGTCCATTGCCAAAGATGATATATACGACTGAACAGCAACAGTTCCATGAGCCTATTATTGCACGCATATACAAATTGTCCATGAAGATCATGGACAGAATGACAACATACTTAATAGGCTAACATACCGCAGAGCCGAGCAAGGTTAAAGGAAGGTTTGTACACGCATTTTTTACTTGCATAAATCATACGGGGAATCATTTGGACAAGGTTTGACGTCACCTACTTTTACATGCGAATCGAGTGATTGTCTCAATTGTGTAATCACATTTAATACATTTATTTACGTATTTTAAATTCCCAAATAAATATTGTGATTATCCCCCCAAGGTATATATTCATCTGGTATACATTCTGCTGATACACCAATATTGCACATGTACTTATATCTAAATCAAGTCCTAATGAAATACATCCATGGCATTCATTCTATTTCAATAAATGTCCCCCAGAGCAGATAATCAACTGTTTAACATTTGGTTAAGGTTACACAAACATGCCCTTATCTAGAACTACTGCTCTTACAATTACTAGAAATTTAATGAAGGCATAATTTAAAAAGCATGATGTTCTACCTAAATAAAATACAACATTATTAAGCACCTGCAGAGTTTGGACTTCTGGAAGAACTCTTCTTCATAGTCTTTGATTGATTCGATGCTTTCGTCTCTATTTCCTAAAAAAAAATACAAAAGACATGAAGTGGATTTTTTTGTTAAAAATCAACACAAAGTTGCTTTAATAACTACACGTGAGTGCAATGATATTGGCTGTTTGTGTGCAATTGCCAGTGTGAACACGCTTACCTTTGCCGGTAACAACTGCAAAGTAACCCAAGGCCTTCATTGGGAAGAGCTTTCCATCCAAGATTTGCTGGATCTGTGGGGGGGAAAAAATGTACAGCGGATGCCATTTCCCAAAAAAACGACACATGTAGAGGAATGTAACTTGGGTTTCAAACTTGTGGGGGGAAAAAAAATACACGTGCCAATGTCTGTAAGGGTTGGCATGTAACATGTCAGTAGATGCACATTGCACATGAGCAAACATAACGAACCCGACTAGAAATATTATTTCACATATTACATACCTCTCAACCCCTTATTAGTGCCTACCTTTTTACAGACCCCGTGCACTTATAAATCTCAACGTTCATCCATCAAAGTACCATCACAAGAGAGAAACACAAACAAATAGACACTTTTTTTTACTATTGGTATGAGCAAGTCAAGCTTAGGGAATTAGTGGTGGTGCAATGGTTAGCGTGCTGTGCTATGAACCAGACAACCTTAGTTTGATTCCTGGCCACGGCTAACATCAAAGGCAACTGGTGTCTGATACAGTCCAGGTCATCATCTCAACTTTCACCAACCGTGCCCTCACCAGCATGAATAATTGTGATGTAACAACCCCCCTAACCAAGACGACCTGGAAAGGCCTCCATTCAGCAGTGGATTTACAAAAGAGCAATTATTATTACAACTCAAACATCAAAGACTTGCAGAAAATGTTCTCCTTGTACTGATGCCCACACAACAGGTTGCCTTGACGGCAATGTTTGGACACGCATTTACACGGGAGGCGTGGCATTAAACAGTGCGAGGGTGGCCTGTTGCCCGGTTCGTGTTAATTTTTTTACATTTACTGGACGAAACGCAGCTGCAGTCATGCTCTGACTCACTCTGTTGGGGCTGGCCAGGTTCTTTTCTGCCAGGTCCACTTTGGTGAGGACAAAGATTGTCCTCCTGCCCTGCGGGTCCATGTTGCTCACGAGGTCGGTCACTATGCTTCTCTCCGCATCCACAGAGCCGTCTGTAAAGTGGTCATGGGTTACTTAAACATCCCCTCCTACCCGCTGTGTTGGCACAAGCACACATCACTGCCCTGCATTATAGCTGTCAGTATCCACATGTACAATATTGACTCCAATGATAATTTTGTGTGATGCATTACATAGATTTGTGTCAAATGAGGACACATATCCACACAAAGGGTTATTGCCTATAAACATATAGCAGTTCACCCAGCAAGCCTGACTGCCGACAAGACAATACATGTCTAAACAGGTCCAAAGTTTTCTTGTATTAAACAAATGCTGCTGAAATTATGCACTCCCAAAAGTGGCCAAAGTGATGGCTTTAGGATGTGTTCTAGACTAGAGTCATAGACATGCAAGACAATTTTATTGATTTTGATTTGCCGTCAGTGTTGTATTCGGTATTTTTTGGGGCTTGTTTGTCGTCTATCAGTTGTAACGTCTTTCTCGTATGTTATCTTGTTCGAGCCATACACCTAAAGGTAAATGCTGCACATAGCTTGTGCCAAATATAAAATAAGTGTTTCAAAAACACATGCGTGTATCATTAAGTGAAATAAAATATTTGAATCGAAAAACTGGTACATTGCTAATATTTACTTAGCAGCAGTGGTTCCAATGTTCTAATTAGGTACTTTATTTTTATCTGTTCTTTCCACTCGTGGACAAATTATATTGTGGGATTTTGGGATGGATGCTATGAATTGGGACAGGGTTTGAACTTGCCTTGTATACACAGGATGATTGCATTTGGATTCTGCATGTAGCCTTTGCTCATCGCGAATATCGCATCTTTGGTGTCTGGAGCCATTCCGGAAGTCATGGTCTGCAGAAATATAAACATTTCCAAGTGTTGAGCAAAGCAATATCAGCACGCAATTATTGGTTCTCATGTAACTTTTTTGAGTGATATTTGTTTAAAATCTCTTGAAAATTTCCAATATCAGTATTTTTGCCCCAACAATGTATATGTCCTTTCAAATAACCAATGATATTTGCCAACATGATAAACTGTACATATCCCATTTACTTTGTTACACAAACGTATTGTGGTTGCAGAGAATTGGTTTTGAAGTCAAAATAAGCTTCAAAAGATATCTGATCCAATTCCAGATGGTCAAAATTAAGACACTACTGTATAATCACTACACAACACTGCCAACATCAGCTGTTCAAGGGAAACAATTAAGTTTTTTGAAAAGTGGTAAGTTACTACACTTAAACGAATAGATTTTTATTAGGATAACTATTTTTAAGGGGAAAAAATTGTCACCTACTGAGAAATAACACTTTACCAACTAGACACTTACACTGATGACACCTGGTAAATCCACCAGCACCATCCTCTGGAGACCAGGTCCTTTTACACTCAGAGATATCGTCTGCGGATAAGAGAGAAGGGAAAGAAAACAGTCAGTCTCCTATAGACTTTTCCAGCCAGGCTCCACCGTTGTGGAATTCCCTTCCACGCTCCATTGGCGAATCCGTTACACTTTTTAAATCACGTCCTAAAACTCACCCATTTGTACAGGCTTTCTCCACAACTTAGCATTTCATCTTCTTGGTTCTTTCGGTAAAGTCACGTAGAAGGGAAGTAATAAAATATTTTAATATTTTAAAATATTTTATTATTTTAAAATATTTTATTATTTTATTACTTCCCTTCTACGTGACTTTACCGAAAGAACCAAGAAGATGAATCCCTGCAGTCACGAAAGCTTTAAATCGAAATTTAGCATTTCATGTAAAGCATTTTGAGGCATTGTGGGAATTGCACTCTAGAAAACCGAGTTATTATAGTTGTGCGTGGCGCCAGGCATCGTGTTTGCCTATCCAAACGGTGCAATGCTTTGCTCCAGCGATGTTGCCTCGTGCAAAGTACTGAGCCTTGCCTCTGCGCTGACGGTGTGCCCTTCCTTTACGCTCTTCTTCATTCGTATTTCGATTTCTTTGCGGAGAGCTGCGAGCTGGACGGCAAATGAGACATCACACAAAATGAAAGATTTCAACACGAGCGTGTGCGTCAGAGGGATAAGCAGTTAACATTTAAGCGGAAAACACACGCACACTAGGAAGGCAATAAAAAAGCAAGGCATTTAAACAGTCAAGCTTTGCTGTCTGAGATTATACGTGTATTACACGCTTCTCTAGCTCGGTCAGCGGATGCTTCTAAAGACTCACGTCGTCTTCCTTGGTCAGGTCGAACTCGCGCGAGCTGTCCTTGAAAATCGCCACGTGATGCGGACCTTCACTGAGCGTCACCTGGAAACAACAAAACACTCAATGAGTGGCATTTAAACCACTCGCTGCTTTTTTGGCTAGCCATCGAACAAAGGTGGTCACTGCATCGCGCGCTTTCAGATGCGCTTCTGCGGCCGTCTGGAACGCTCTTCCTTCTGATATTAGGAAGCCACTGGAGCTATGCACCTTTAAATCTCGATTGAAAACGCATTTCTGAACTGATTTTTGCGTTTAGTTTGGCCTTCCCCCGCACCTTCTATTAGCACAGATGTCAACATACATACAACGCAGTTTCGAAGTGCGCAGCAACGTACCTTGACAGGTGAACGGGTCATCATTTCTCCAGAGCCACGTGGAAATATGCGAGCTTGAGCGATCATTTCCAGTACGCTGGTCTTACCCGAGCTCTGGTCTCCAACTACTACCACCTGTCAACAATTTAACAAATTAATACATTTTTCCAACAATGCATTGTAAGGAATATTCTTTCTGCTAAAGTTCTGTTTATTTGAAATGCTGCTTTTTGTTCCATGCATAATTTGTCACCACAATAAAATAGTGATATATTAGTGTACATCTTTGCCATTTTCAATCTAATTATTTTTTGTCTACGAATTATCATTCATGAAATCTTGGGACAAGTTTAAGCATGTTTGTGTAAAACTCAATAAAAAAAATGTGCATACTACATTATGGCTGGCTGGCGCACAAGTGTACATTCGTGGTGGTGCAGTCACCCGCACATTTGCACGATGGCGTCACCCGCACATTTGCACGATGACGTCACCTGCACATTTTTGTGCGATGACGTCACCCGCACATTTTTGTGCCATGACGTCACCCGCATCGCACAGCCATAAGCCGTCCATATTCACACGTCACCCAACCTCAATCCAGGCAATCTATCCCGTGCAAATGCGTGGGCAATGCTAGTGTAAACGAAAATGTAAAACCACAAAACACATTTGTAGGGACCCAATAAACCTGGGAGTCAGTGGTTGGGAAATGTGGTTGTTCATAATAATAATAATAGGGTTTTTCCCCTTTTTTCTGGCAACAACTTCTGAAACCTTGTTACAAGGATTCATGTCTGCATTAACCACAATACTTGCAGTCAAATAATCACAGTGTGTTTTTTGTTTGCATTTGACTGCAAATATTGTGGTTAATGCAGACATGAATCCTTGTAAAAAGGTTTCAGTTTTGTTGCCAGAAAAAAGGGGAAAAACCCTATTATATTTTGGTACTGGCAAAAGAGGTCTAATGATGTGGTTGTTCATGTTTCATGCAGAATTCTTTTGGACAACATCTCAAGAAGGTGTTTACTTTCCGAAACAATTCACCAACGCCAGTATTCACAAATAATCTGAGATTGTCTCACCCTTGGCAACTGATCCTGTGTGTTGTAGTTGGCATCATAGTCCGAAAGTATGTCCAGAACTTCTGAGTACATTTCAATCAACGACTTCTGTTTCATCGGGAAGAAAGAAAGCAGAGCAGTGTTAAGATCACGATTCTACGCCAGCGGTCATTGTTCAAATTGATGTAAACAAAGTCCCTCGCATGTGGCCACTCCTCTGCATATATCACCTTAACCTTCCTCTGATGGATACCCTTGTCGTCCTTCTGCAGAAGCTGCTTTCTCAACTCCTTGTTCTCCTTCTCAAGCTGTTCCAGAATCCGCTGGTACTTCATCTGCACAAGTGGCACACTGAAAATTATCACTGCTGCCAACTGATTGCTCATATAATAATGAAACAATGTTACATGCGTACTTCTGGAAAAAATGTTTTAATCAGAACTGCGGTTAATTTAGATTTGACTGTAATAAACCAAATAATACAATTTTGATTTACGTAACATATCAAAGATGCTATACAGAATCAGTGGGCATATTTATATCAAGAGGCAATTAGACACAGGCAAAGTTAAAAAGGAAGGTCTTGAGTCTGGACTTGAATAGATGCAAGGTGTTGACAGCACGATGACTGGCTGGGCAGAGTAAGTTGAAAATATTCATAGCCTACAAAAGCATACTCTAAAGTGCTTTGTTGACCCTTCTATTTCCTTGATGAAGCAATCCATATTCATGGTTACGTTCATAATCAGGGGATGGATCTGTTGCAGTGATACTCGGTGTTGGCTACCTGAGTCTTAAGCAGCTCCTCCTGCAGTTGGTCAGATCTGTCCTTGTCCGAGATCTGCATAGGAAGAGTTGGAGCAAGATCACTGCAGGGATCCACTCGGCAATCAGCGAGTCAGTGAAGAAAACAATGGCTGTAGCTACGATAGGCATAATTGTATAATAAAAAAGCAACTTATAATTAGCAGAAGCAATGGCGAGGTGTAGTGGCATCACTGACCATTATGAATTTCACTCTTAAATTTTTAACTGATACCATATGTTAAGCTGTAAAATTCAGTATCGGTTGCATAACATATCAGCATTCATGTAACGTGAGTTGGACTTCAGTAAGTTACACTAGCGCTTCCCACTGTCATGAACACACATCCTGTTATATTGATGTTTGAATAGTTATCAGTCTCTTCAGCACCCTACTTCATAAACCAATGAGGGTTTATAATGTAAGTGATCCCAACCCATGTATTCATCATACAGATAAAACCTAAACGTGCAAACAGACACTGAAAAATACACTACTTTAAGACCATGCTACCTACAATTATTGCAATGGCGTTGAGTAGCTGCACAAAAACTACATACTTGCAGATGCCCTAATTAAAGTGGGACAGGTCATAATTAATATTTTTTTCATTATGCGCTGAGAATGCAGGACTGAGCTGGATTAGTACTCGGATAGATGACCACCAAGGTCTTGCCAGGAATTATAAGCGAGATATTGATTGGGCCTGGAGGTGGCAGTGTTGAATATCATCCACTCTTATACACATGGGTTTTCTAAGGGTACTTAAATTTGCTCCCATATTAATGGAACTGTTCAAACATCCCAATGCAGGACTTTCCCTAAATACAATCTTTAGACTGTGGGCTTTGTTGGGTAAGTAAACTTGGCATCATCAACAATTGGCATCATTATCCTGTCGAGGTAATGTTTTGACAAACTGGCATGGCAATTCACACCATTGGAACCTCATTTGCCAGTAAAAAATATGATAATTGGTTTTTTACCCTTCCATCTGGCAACAAAACTTACACCTTTTTTACAAGGAATCATGTTTTCCTTAGAGCCTAGCTTTCCTTAGAGCCTGGTCCAACCCATGTGAGACTAGGCTCTAAGGAAAGCTGACTCAGGTGTGGACCAATCAACTTCAAGGACAGTGCATACATTATCAGAGTTATCTTTTTTGTCTGCATTATGCTTGCAGGTATTGTGGTCTATGCAAACATGACTCCTTGTAAAAAAGGTGTCAGTTTTGTTGCCAGATGGAAGGGTAAAAAAACAATTCTCTGACATGGCAATTGTTCAACGCTGCCTGGATGGCCAGCTAGGCCAAGCAAGGTCAAGCCAGGTCATGGCATCGACAGGTGGCTGGCTGGCACGCACACCTTGGGCCTGTACTGGGGCGTGGTGGGGAAGGTCTGTGCCGCCGAGCGCCGGGCCTCCTCCTCGTGCTGCTGGATCTGCTGCTGGATCAGGATGAGCTCTCCAAGGAGACCCTGGTCACCGATAGTGGTGACCAGAGGAAGGGGCCACGCCCCAGTGGTTTATTGGTATGTGCACGCAGGTTGAGAGGTTGGGTGAGGGTTTAGGGAAAGTAGGCAGGGGCGGGGTAGCAGTAATTGATGGGCAAAGCCAGAGAAATGACACAACACAGACAGGACAGACATGCAACAATGGGAAAAATAATGTTATCGGTGATTTATTTTGTTCTTTAGCGAAGTGACAATACCCCTTGAGCTTCATCCATCTTTTTGCAGAGGAGACCTGGTTAGAGGGAGTTATGACGAGGGGACAGCATTTTGCTCGGTCCCTTGCAGGTATTTTTTTTTTCGTTATCGTGGATTCAGGCTGTGACAAACAGGTCTCAAAGAGTATTTAAAGTGAGCAAATTGGTGATTGTGTCCACAGAATTGATTGGGAATCTCTGGGAAATACCCATTGTGCACACTGGCTTTGTGGCTGGAATCCTAATAGGCTATCCAGCCACAAAATATGTAGTGTTTTTAATAAGACAATGTAACAAAAATAAGTATACAAATAAAAGCAACTAAAATGAAAAATCATGAACGTGGCTTTAACACAACAGGGCAAGGGCACAGGACAACTTCAGCAAAGACTACAGGCAGGATGTGAAGAAAGGAGAATGGAAATGAGTTTTTAAAACCTCCCAATGCTATATCTACTTCATTTTATTGTAATTACTGGTACCATATAAAACAATGAATACGCCTGCACATGCGTGAGTCCTTATACCAAATGGAGTGGGATCAGTTTACATTGTAGCAGTCACTTATCCAATTAATATCATGTATTTGTCATTCAGAAACACATACAGTACTGCCCTTGGGAAGCGCTAGTTTTGTATATTTGACATTTATAGAAAGATAGACGAGTCCTGTTATTAAATGGAGACCTAGCATATATTTACAAAATATAAACTAAATTACAGTTATTTATTTTATGCGTACTAAACTAAGCTATTATTTATACTGAATTTTAAATGATAACACAATGGCCAAGCAATGAATTTTTTTGTAAGAGCAAAAACATAAATAAAAATAAAACACGCATCGGTTGCAATGCTTTGTGAATTGAGTTTATGCAAGAATATTGGAAAAACAGTTGACAGGAATTATAATTATTATTTGCAATACCAGACAATCAACAATTTAGATCACTGGGATACTCTTCAACTGGAACTTTACACTAACACAGGTCAACAAAAGTATAATTTTAATGCCGGTGTGAGGTTCCTTTTGAAGAATGAGATTTTGTTCAACAGCCAAATTGGCACTGAAAGGGTCAGGATATTTTAAGCAAAACAAGTATATAAGAGTGAAACTCAGCTAACCAAGCAAATGCCGCAGTATGCTCTACCTTTTTGTATTTCTTTTCCCCATCTGCGGGCGTGCTGAAGCCCAGGCCCCCATCAGATGCATTCATGCTTGTGGATGCAGCTGGATCTGAAAAAAAAGGTAAATGTGGAGAAGCACAACCAATGTGGGGAAACACAACCAAATGCGTACGCGAGCCCCGTTTGCAAAGCCCAACATGCGTATAAGAACTGTCCTTTTTAATTCAGCCAAGGCGAGATTAGTGGATCTAGGGACACCTTATGAAGCTGAATTGATGTTGGAAATGTGTGAAGACATTACAATTGAGGTGATGCCTGCCTTTTGATAGATATCATTCAAAATTACATTTTATACATAAGTAGATCTTACACACAAACGATGAGGCCACTGGCAATATGGCCAAAATGTGTAGGTATTTTTTTTTACATTCGCTTATCGAATGAAGTCTCCGTTTTTAAGGTCAACAGACGGCAGTCAAGCAAACCCATTGTGGTACTGTATTTGGCTCCCACGTCAATGCTCCCTGTCTTCAACAACTCGCACTGACCAGCGTGGCAAAAGATGTTAAAATAACCCCCATGACCTACATCCGGCAGTGACGTGACACAAGGGCTCTAAATGTACATATATATATAAACAGTTGACATTATATTCGTTATTTTATAAGCTTAGGAACACACAGAAAAGGATATAAACACACAGAATGCGACGACTGGCTCACTCTAACCTCTCATTGTGGTTTTGTCGAGATGAGAAGGTGTACCTATTGAATATCCACATAACCCCATCGCAATCAATCGACAGCTCGGCACACTCAAAATGCAACAAAATTCACAGCTTACTCAACTAGCTGTAGCCAACGCAGAAATGAATGGGACACACAGCTTGCCTGTAGTTCATAAAACCTATGCTGCTCTCTGCGGGCTGAAGAAAAACAATCAGAGAGGGGAGAAGAGCATTACACACCTAACAAGTGAAGTGGACCTGCAGCTCCTTTGATATCTCTAAACAAACTCTCACCTGCAAAAACCAGCAAAAGCAACAACAGAAATAAAACAAACAATGAAAAAAAATAACAAAACCAGTTGCCGAGTGTGTAATGCATCTGTATGACCAGTGCAGAAAAGCAGGATTAAATGAAAAGGTCATCAATGTGCTGTAAAATAAAAATGTTCACGGTGCGCATTTAGCAAGATTAATCAAATTGAAATGTATCTGTACAATTGGAATGCTATAACGCGTATAAAAACCTTCGTTGTAAAATGTATCTGCAAAAAATACAAATACTTCCTAACTTGAATAATTGAACTAAAAGTACGGATGGAATGTACATCGGAATGTACGTGTAATGCAAAAACTGCTTACATACCAATAAATCGCACACACAACTCGACTGCCATAGACCAAGGATTCTCAATAATAATGGCCAAGTGAGCCTGATTTAAATGATATTCACTGGTAGTGTTATTTACAAATCAACGTGAATGCACGGTCTTGGATGTCAATTCGAGGGTAAAAAGCACTTTTGACAAAATCATAATACAGCCAAGGCACTGTTTACTCACCAGCTGTGATTTCATGTAAATTCTATTTCTGCTTATAGCAATATGTTCAGGAAATAAATGCCAATATTGAGGTCTGCTCGCTACGAAAGGGCTTCAGGAGAATTATTCTGTAGTTTTGCTACTCTTCAATGGAAGGAGCGCAGACAGCGGCTTACTATGTAGTCCATAGTACATTTCCAAACTAAACAATGTTTTTTTATTTCATCAGTTAAAGCCCACTGAGCTATATACAGTAAATCCTTGGATTGCGAGTAACTTGGTCTGCGAGTGTTTTACAAGACGAGCACATTTTTTAATAAATATTAATTTGATAAACGAGCAAGGTCTTGCAATACGAGTAGTACGCGTATACGCTTTGTCTGTCGAGCGTCACGTGATCACAACTGATACACGAGTGCTTTGAAATACGAGTGTTTGGATTACAAACACATTTCCGGAACGAATTATGCTCGCAATCCAAGGTTTTACTGTAGCTCTTTTTCAGAAGCTACCTGGCTACAGATGATAGCTCAATGAAGTGACTAATCACGTGGAAATTTAAATCAGCCAAATACTCTAAATGCATGTCTCTCGATGTGGAGGGAAAAAACGGAGGACCCGGAGAAAAATCTACGTAAACCACAGGGAGAACATACAAACTCCAAATATGCAGGTGTTGGGATCGAACCATAAACCTCCTGCATACCAGGCGAGGTAGTTAACATCTCACCACCATGGCACACAAGCAAGGCATCCACACTGCTAATATATATTATCTGAATTACCTGATGCCAAGGAGTCGCGTAGCCGCTGAAGGAACTCTGTCACCTTGTCAGGATTCGGCAGGAACTTGGCCAGGTCCTCCCTGTCTGGCAGATTCTGTGAAATCTTGTCTGTAAGCAGACCACAAACAGCGAATACATTAGTAACCACGGGTGGAGAGGCAGTGTAAAGACATCTTGCAGCAAAACTCTCATCGTATTTAATTAAAATGTACATCATTTGGAGCATAAGTTTGATGATATACACAAACATTTATTCGTTTACTTTTCTGTTTGAAGGTTTGTAAATTCCACACCAAAGCAACTATAAACATATTTTCAAATATTCTTAAGATTATACAAATTATAAACATAATCTATACTGCTCTGCCTTGAGTTTCTCTTCTTAAGAAATATTAGTGAAATATAACAATATGTTATACTTGTTACAAACACATTTATGTATACAGTATTACAAATCCAACACAATTGACTGAGGTTAGAAAAAAGTACGAAAAAACATGATATGTCAGTCTCATAATGATTACTCTGTAGTCATGTCACACCCAGGAAGAATATGGTAAATGTGCGCATATAGAAGTGGATAAGCTTACCAAAGTCGATGTATTTGTCCAGTTCCCAAACAAATTCTGGAATCACCCATGAGTACTCTGTCAAGTCTGGCAGCATATCCTTCCATTCCTCATATTTCTGAAACATTATTCAGACCCACACACAACCCATGAGACCTATCCAAATAACAATAAAATATGAAGTAAAAAAATATTCCACAAACCACTTCACAGTTTATTAAACGACAGCAGCCACAATCATAATTCTGCTGACCAAAGAGATAAAATAATTTAGATAGTAAAAATTACGTTCTAGAGCAGTTTCAGGAAGAGATGCATCTTATCATGAAATAAACAAGAAAAGACAAAATACGTTTACTGAGCAAATTATCTTACAAGCTTGATGTTCTGCAAGGATGTTGTAAAAAAAGAACAAGAGGTTGAAAGAGAACTAAGCAGTTTGATGACTTGAAGGAACAGGAGCAATACAAGAAAATAACGAGGCTCAAGACTGGAAGATAGGAGTTTGAGCCAAGAACCCACCATTGGGCAGAGAATTAAAGAGTGAGTCACAAGCGGTATCAAATTGAGGTGCACACATACCTGCTTGGCAGTATAGCTTCCTCCGACTGCTGTACCAAGCACAAGGTACCTCAGCCGCAAGAGCCGAGCTGCAACTCGTACCAGAATAAAAGTCCGGGCATGTGTCCAACCTCCTCCTGCGTAGCCACCTCCTTGACCAAACCGGTGGTAATTATAACCACGTCCACGTGTGAACGCAGAGTAGTGTCGTGCAAGTGCGCGGCGGTATCGCACGTGGTGGATATGATGTTGCTGTTGTGCGCTTGCATCCTGAGGTATGTAGCGCCGGGCTTGGCAAAGAGAAGGTGGCAGCAGGCAGCGAAAGTGGGAGGCAGCGGCGAGCACCAGCCATCAGGCCCACAGGCCCATCAGACAGGACAAGCCATCCCTTCTGCTGTGATGACAGCCTAGGATAGACATTGGTGTGTCAAAACAAAGTATAATAATAAACAATTTATAAAGCATGCATATTTCGCAAGTCGGACGCAATGTTCGATCAAGAACTCCAAGGCACAGAGCCAGAGTTCAAGGTGCCTCGTGTGCCCGCCAGAACAAATGAGAGCCTTGAGCTGCTGCTTGAAGGTAGATGCTGATTGGATGCTGCGTACGTGCAGTGGGAGAGAATTCCAGATGTCTGGTGCAGCTATGGAGAAATGCTGCTCGGCCAAGGCAGTCCTGGGTACAATGCGCAGGTTGTTAGACCCCGAAGGACCCAGCGGTTTGCTGTGATCAGTGGAGTGAGAAAGGACGAGAGGTATGGCGGGCGACATTGAGAAAGAGCTCGGTGGCACAGGATAACGATTTTGTACTCCATCCTTGATTTTACGGGGAGGCAGTTACAAGGTTTTTAGCGTAGCCATGGAAGCCATATGGCCGTGCCTAATACAAAGGACAGTACGTGAGAGGTTGTTTTGAAGATGCTGTAGTCTGAAATGGTGTTTTTGCTGAAGTCTGAGTAAGGATGGCGTTGCAATAATCAAGGTAGATGCCAACAATGTTACAAGAGTATATGCAGGGGGCTTTAGCAAACATTGGGAGGATGTGCCATATTTCTTTGAGATGCTAATTGCATATCTTTATCATGTTGAGCATGTGATTGTTAAGTGAGAATGAAAACTCAAGGTGATAGCGAAGATATTTATATGATTCGAGGGACCAAAGATGGAGCCAGAAATGAGATTTTGAGATAACAATACTGGTGAGCCGTTGCCTGGTGCCTCGACTTCATGGGTGATTTTACCAAAAACCAGTGCTAAGGTAGAGAGGTGCAATTAGTACAGTTCAGTGGGCCCTGGTCGGAGGTTAGAGTGAAATACTGTATAATTAAGTGTCATCATCGTAGGTATGAGTTTGTGGTAACTATGGACGTGGCGGCTGATTGGGGAGAAACAGACTGAGAAAAGTAAAGGACCCAGAATGGATTCCTTCAGGACACCTACGGTCGATTGGGGTTGAGGACTTCCAACTTTGATGTAGAACCTTCTGTCTGAGAGATAACCATGTGAGCCACTGAAGAGCTGTGCCAAGTCAGATTGTAGGCATTCAATCAAAATATTGTGATTTAAAGTGTAAAAGGTGGCAGATATGTCATGGCTGAAAAAACCAACGGTGGAAGAGAAATCAATGAAAGCTAGAATATCGTCGATAATCTTGATGAGTGCAGTCTTGGTGAAGTGGGCTGGGCAGTAGGTGGACAAGATAAAGGGACGAGGTGATGTAATCTTTGATTCTAACAAGTGTAAGGTGCTCAGGAAGTTTGGAGATGACTGATAAGTTGGTGAACATCGTGGTGTAAGGTGGATACAGGCATGCTGTTGTTGCACTCATTTTATAAAACCTCAGAGATGAAATTCATTTCCAAGATTATTTACAGTATCTACACTTCACACATCTTCCACACTACTTTGCTATTCACATCCACCCAGGCACTGAATTCAACTATTGACAACACATATGCTCACTATGAACTGTGTACAGATGTACACATTATATTTGAACGAGCCATGCTTTGAGGCTTGGCAATTGGGAATGTGTGTATTCTCTATGCTGAAATCAGACATTAAAACAGAGAGGATGCAACCTTGTCCCTAGAAAACATCTCTGATGGTGATAAGTTGATTCAATGGCAGATACGTATCCAAAGATGTAATGGGTTAATGAAATGTCAATGTCAACCACAAGGCATGGACCAGGACCAATGGTGATTTGAAATATGTCAATGAACAGTCTTTTCTGGGTACATTTATAGGATGCCATTCTAAGGTGTGTAACAACATGACATTTCGGCAGTTATGAGAGCTCATTTATCCCTGTCTGGCTCATTTATCTCGTTTAGTCAAGTTAAATCAGGCTCAAACCCAGGAACTCAGTAGTGTCTCATTAACACGAACTTTACGTGGCCATTATGAACTCCGACAATTCCATGGCCTAAACCCAGAACATCAACAGTGCTTGCTCAGCGAAATATGATATCGCACATTGAAAACCCCCCTTAGAGACCTCAGTTGTGCCGATCCAGTGCTTTAACTTGGCAACTACGCTCGCCCTGAAAGTTCCCGATAGGGTTAAAATCCTGGATCTCAGAGGACTTGTCTGACAGCCATAACACGTGTGACACAGCCATCACAAACCGACGGCGTGACAGACGCCCTTCGGGAGCTCGACTCTTTAAACCAGGACCTCGGTGGTGCTGGAGGAGTATCAGACATTGCTACGGGTGTCTCGTGAGTGGCAGAGCCAGACAAATATCACACACTTAATACTGAAGGGCCAATGGTGCCGCCTCTGCGTCTAACCGAAACCACCACCAAACGTGAAGTCGTAAAAAAGCACCTGACGCAACCATTGAGAAACAGAGCACCGGGCTCAATATTCAAAACTCATTTCTTTAGAACTGCTTTTTATTTTGTCCCCCCCCCCCGCCCGCACCTACGATTAGCGCGGCTGGCGAACGTACGGCGCGAAAGAAGTTCAACGTGCGTGCATTGCATACAACTGGAATCTCCCGTCTTGGTGCATCAATTAAAGCCATCGTGAACTTGACGTGGCCATGACACCCATCGCCACAAGGTTCTCCAAAACCACCAACCCATGACCTCGTGAGCGACGGTAAAAAGGTTTACGACAGATCCATGACCAACGCCTTCCCGAGCCACCAGGCCCACCGGCTGGCTCAACAAACGCTACCAAGGCTACGGGGCCAACAGCCTCGGTCTCGCCTAGTGTCAGTCGCACCGTCCCCCCCGCCTTACGCGGCGGAGCGTTCTAGGCCACAGCGGTACAGGCCCAAAAGCGCGGCCTTTAACACTCTCCCCGAGCGCTGGCGGGAGCACGGACTCTGGGCGCTTACCGAGCCAATGTGGTGGAGGAGGCGCGCAGCATTGTTCCGCGCACGGGAGTTTGTTAAAGCTTAGCAGAGCGAGTTAGCGGAGCGAGTTAGCGGAGCGAGCGCCACACGCGGGTGAGAAACGCCGCGCGCGTCGCCCTCATCGGCGGCCGGGCTGTCAGGCCGCAAGGGCAGGGAGGGTTGAGGGGTGGGGGGGGGTCCAAGCAAAGCCGCGCATGCGCACTGAGGGTGTGTTGGTGGGGGGGGTGAAGGTGAGTGAGGAGTCGAATCGATTGGATGTTGGTTTGAATTTCGATTTAAAGCTTTCGTGACTGCAGGGATTCATCTTCTTGGTTCTTTCGGTAAAGTCACGTAGAATGGAAATAATAAAATAATAAAAAATAAAACATATTTTATTATGTAGAATTTTTATTATTTTATTATTTCCATTCTACGTGACTACCGAAAGAACCAAGAAGATGTGGGTTTGAACTTAAACAAAATAAAAGAGAGTCGATTTTTAAGTCAAAGACTGCGTACCGCGGTGCTGTGTGTTGGAATCGAATTGGTGGTTTATGTGTGGAATCTATATATCGATACGTAGAGGTTCCCACCAAAGACAAAGATCCCCCGTGTAGCCTTAAAAGACTGTTGGGGCAAGTGTTGTGAGCGAGCGTGGTGTATTCCGCAAATATGCCCGACTGTGAGGGCGGGCACAAGCCGGCGTGAGTAGGTTAAACGTTGATTTTTATAAGGGCACCACGGGGTGACCAGCCCCTCCCCACCCTCCCCTCCCTCCCCACCCAGCCCCTCCCTGCACGACGGACGGACACAATAATCCCCTGTGGGCTGGTGGAACCAGTGGGTTCCTACCAGTAAAAATGTAGGTACAGCACTTGGCGGTTGTTCCAGCAGAGGGCTCTGTGAACACAACTCAACCATGCGAACGAGTGCTTTTTCGGGTATTTTATAAAGCGCAGCAGTTGCATACAAAATAAAAGTTCGTGATGGCAAAAAGATCTCATAATATCTGGTTTTTCCATGGCAGTGTTAGATGAAGACGTAAAATATCGGTTCTTTAAAATAATTAACTCATAATTATTCACTCATCTCATTTTGGGGCCGATGATAACATTTCCTGGAATTTGCCTCATCACAGAAGCTAAGCAGGTTGAGTCTGCATGGTCCAATTGTATGGAAGTTATTTTTTATATATAAGTCGCAGGGCTACGTAGTGGCCAGCAGAGGGCAGTGCTGCACATCCCATTGCCGCACGATACGATGCACCCACGTCTATGCTCCCCGCGTTCACCAACCCATACAGACCAGCGTGGTGAAGCATGGTCAAACAATGTCCACGACATACATGGAATGGGGAGGCCTTCAGCCACCAGTGGATTGACAAGGTGCTGTACATGTGTGCATCATGATGAATTAAATTTTTATTACAACATCCAGGGAATACAACGGTCGAGTGAAATGACATTTTGCAATCACCAATTCTAAGAAATATGAAAATGTTCAAAATCTCTTAGAAACCCAATGAACCTGTTTGTGACTTAAGCAAGACGATGATTTTATTTGCACAAGAGTCCAGAGTTGAACTCTCAAAAAGACTACCAAGTAAATGAAATTAATTCTAGGAATCGAGAGTAAGAAAAGCAAGCGTATCAGCTCTCCGATTGGCTTCAGTGTAACATTGAGGATAACCGGTGAGGCAATGACAGCTTGTACTAATTCGCATCACCCCCCCCCCCCCCCCCGCTGACATTTCGATGAATTGTCAATTGCTTGGGCTCATTAAAACATTCCAGCCGCCCCCACATCCTGCCTTCCGAAGGAGGGAAACCCCCCTGCAAGCAACGTCGAGTGGGACCCGACTGACGATGCCAATGCCTACGCTAAGCCTCACCCATTACCTCCCATTCGAATGCCACGCGTGGGAACGAGGTGTTATTTTTCATGAAACGTTTCGTCTGATATAAATACTTGTGTAATCGATAACGAGTAATTGATCAGAAA